CTTTGCAACTGAGAGATTTATAATTCTGTACTTTGAATATAAGGAGAGATTTTCTTTTTCATCTAACAAACTGGCTTCTGTTTTCTAAAATCAAATACTTAAGAGTTCTATTAACATCAAAGTATATTTTCCAGTTTCATTATCTATCAATCTACAGAATTTCATCCATAATTCCCTGCACTTCCTGTGTCCATTACCATGAATAGTGTAACTCCATTTTGAAGAGTACTCCAGTGCCAATCTACTAGATTTCTCCCACAATTCTCCACACTTCCTGTGACCATTACCATGGATAGTCTCTAAGAGTCCTCAATGTCTGAAACTCAATCCTTTCCGTTCACTTTTAATGAGTGTGAAGAAGCAATTTGTCCGGCACTGGTCATTTTGTGATTGACAACCATCTTGACAAATTCTGCTCATCATGTGGAAATATAATCACTCACTTGAGACTGCAATTTATCCAAGAAATCTGTCAAAAAAGCTCATCCTTTTCATCATTTTTTCTTTAATAAGAGTACTATTTTTTTTTTTGTGACAGAAAAAAGGTCCTAAATAATTATGTTCATTTAAATCTTTTTACTTTGTTCCTTATTTTATTTATTTTCTTAAATATTTTTTACATGTTGTTTTACAGAACAGAAGTATTTTCATAGACATTTTTATTAATAGGAACATAGTGCCAAAAAAATTTCATAAATTGTCATACACTGACAGACAGTACTAGACAGGAATTGAAAACCAAAAATCCCCTGGAAAATACATCCCATTATTGGGTCAGTCCCTTTTATTATAAGCACCGCATTGTAGGAAGATGACAAACTCTGGTGCAATCTTCGACTCACTATTATTGGTTAGGAAAAATGTAATAATGTGGCGCCAGATTACAAGACGTGTAATCAATCATTCCAAGTCCTCAGTGACAGTTTGTTCACAAAAGCAACATACTCTGTTCAATAAGAAGGATTCATCATTCTTCACTAGTATAGACCTAAATATTGTAGTTTATAGCTTTCAGATAAGTAACATCTCAAATGAAATTGCCACTCATGAGTTATTGCTTTTGAACTCAAAATATATATAAATATTGATATGTATTTATATATACCATTTAAACAACTATACCATGGATGGTCACCATCTAACTAAGAGAGATAACCTGTTTTTACAAGTTTATCAATTGTGTCAAGAGTTCACTCCCTTTCCAGATTTCTTCTCTTGTTACTGAAATCTATTAATTTTTGACAGGTCTTTCCAGTCAAGGAGTTTTATTTTCTGCATTAATTTATTGACATTTAGTCAAATTTGATATACAAGATGTAAATTGAACCAGCTTTCATTCAGGAAATAATCAGCAAAAATCTAGAATATGAATTTTGAGGAAAATCGGGACCTGCCATAGAAAAACTGTTTTGTTTCAAGGAGAATGTGGCATATACTGCAAATCTTATCATAAAACAACTACAAAAATAGAAATGCCAAGACGATATGTAAAACTCAAGTTAAGAGCTATGAACGCCAATGGGAAAAATGAAACTATTTTGCCAGGTATATTTATGAGCGGAGATAAAATATTTAGTATGGTAGTTTCCATGCTTACTTATCAACTACGTATCAGAATTCCACTCATGCCAATAGAGGGGGTAATTTGGCCAGGGACCCTCCAAGATCCATATCGGAAGGAAAACACAAAAATAACATTTATATAGCTGCTTAGCCAAACATTAGTTTCATATGAAGTGATAAGACCTCGGGAGCAGCAAGTTTTGAGGTGTAGATAACGGCGCCTATCACAAGCTGCAGAGTGAGCACACATTTCTGCCACCTACAATGAAAATCCCCGCTGTTAAATTAATTCAATATACTTCAAAATGTTGGGAAAGATTTCGAAAAGGTATTAGATACCTAAAGATCACTCTTCTTTTATTCATGTTTTTTTTCTTCTTTTTCTTGGTAAATTTGAAAAAAATGTTGTAGAGTTGTTGTTTATTGCTGAATTCTTCACTCTTTCATTTTCTATTACCTATAATTAAATTGAAGTAGGTGGTTATTTCCTGCTTCAAATTAATGAAACGTTAATAGTTTTTAATAGTTATTACTATTAATAAATAATCTCTAATGAATTATCTTTAATAATGCAAAATACTGCTACAATAAACTTAATTAGAAAAAGTACTAAAAGCCGAGCCTAAAATGCCCAGCGTACATGCTGGATCTCTTTCCGAGCTAACTTGATTGATAATGATAGCTGTGCTTTATTTTTTTTAAGAGACTGATTTTCTATTATTCTCCTGTAAAAGTTTTTTTTAACCTTTTTGACAATGCAGTTTTGTTAAACACTCGTACTAAAGAGAATCACTGGAAAAAAATAAACCTTTTACACAGCTTGCAAATACCGTTTTCAACATTTTTTTCATAAAAACTGATTTTATCTGAGTGACAATTTAGAGTATGATCATTTCTGAACACTTTCGAACAAATGTCGTGGCTTCTGCTTTTTTTTTATAATTTATAAAGTGAAATAAGAATTGATCTTAATCGATGTAAATGTGAATTACCCTTTGTCGGAAGAATAGCAAAAGAAAACAATTAACTTTCTCACACATGGGAGGGAGGGTCAGAGATCATGTTTTAAAGAAATTTGTAACATCTGTTTATAAAAACAAAAGGAAAACACAGTAGAGCATCTTGTTATGGCATTACAGTGAAAAGAATGTAACATGTGTAAACTAAAGTGTAATTTTAAGATTTCTACGAAACCGGCACCAAGAAAAAAAGCAACAAATAACAGGAAATCTAGCTATACAGATAGAACTGAGATCTGTAAGCTCAGATATCAGCTATGCACAATTCTTTTCCATGTGGTATGCACGTAAAAATAACGAGAATATTAATTAGAGATGACATTTGTAAGAATGGGTATCTCTAATCATTCTAAGATCTCCGGAAGTCTATAAACATATCAGTATCCTAGTCTACATGCTTATCATTTTAAGTGTATGGATACCTCGGAAGATCTTGGCAATGCTGGCAGTATATAAGTTTTCACCTCATAATTCACACAGACAATATATACCAATTCATTAGAATCTATTTCGCAACAATTAACTAATGAAACTTTCAATAATTGTATATGATATGATTGTATATATACCGATAACTTTTGATGGATATAGACAAAACTTGGCATGTTGTAAATAAACTTGCCATAGTGATATAGCTACCCTCGGCTAACCTTTTTCCCACACAAAGCAGACAAGTTAAAAAAAAAAGAAAGGTGTATATATTACAGGCCAAAGTTGCTATTCCAAAAATATCTTATAGATACAGTACATGGAAACAGAGTTGCTTGGAGGTATCATTGATTGTGTTCTGAATTGTTCCTGGGAAATATTTCACCCGTTGAATGTTAGAGGCAATAATGACTTGCCCTATGCCACCAATATAGTCAGACCAGCCAGCATGTCCGTTATTCCAAAAATATCAACCCCTTTCTCTGAAATAACGTCTCATTTATATGACACTATTATTCAGTGCTCAATTAAATACTTTGATACTGTTATAAAAAAACAACAACAGCAAAACAAACACAAGATGATGGACCAACAACACAGGCCAAGTCTGTTACCAAAATTTAGCAGAAAAAGGCTAAGTACTAAGTCGCTGTTCAAAAGTGCAGCTAGTTAGTGGGAAAGTGTAAAGCAAATCTTCATATCCACCCCTCATTCACCCCCCCCCCCCCCCCCCCTAAAAAAGTTTTGAAAATTTGAAATCATCAGCAAAAACTCACTGCAACTAATGTGTTGGTCACTATTCACTGTCAGAATTTTTGTAAGTACCATTACCACATAGATCATACACAGTTTTTACAGATTTCCTTTCCTCCAACAGAAAAAATAATAACAATAATGTTATTTTAATTGAGTGTTTTGACAAGGCGGAAAACAGGAAAACACAAACTTATTCCATTATTTATCCATTTTTTTTCTCCGGTAAATACTATAGGTTCACACTTGACTATAGGGAACTGTGGTTTAAATGATACCCAAATGAGAAAACCCTGTCAAAAATGATAGATGTCTGTTTCTAAACCTGACATTTTCAGTGTGATAATGCTTTTATTATGAGACTCATTTACACACTGTGTTTCAATACCAGATATCCAGTGATGCAGCCCACTGCACTTATTATCTTCCCAAATTCACCACATTATATTCTCTTTTGATTTATTATGTTACTTTTTCCGTCAATTAAGTCTAATTTTAAACGTATATTGTTAAGTAACATTTAATGATATGGGATACCAAAGAAGAAAGGAAATTACAAAAATCTCCATTCAAAACAATGTTTTTTAATATAGGCAACATCAGTTTTGCATTATATCATCATAAGTAGCAGATACTCTTTGCTAACAAATATACCCACGGTGTTAAAACTTCCATCTAATTACAATGTAACAGGCTTTCATTATTTCAAACTGTGTAAACTAAGTGAAAACTATCTTCCATTCTTCACTACACTGGTGTTTATTTTTTCCCAGTCTTGCTTACAAAAAAGATCTGGAAAGTTCTTGTAATGTAAATTGACAAAAATTACATGTAAAGTTCAAATACCCCCCCCCCCCCCTATAATATAGGAAAGGTATATTTTGCTTACATTATAAATGAGTGTACACAGAAGTTGCGGTCCTCCGACATTTTTTATCTTTGTCGCATTATAAGAGATAGCATTTATTATTTATCACAGAAAACAAACTCTAAAAGAACATAAAGCCATGGTTTGACTGTACCAGTATTTAGTAAATAACAATAAATGAATGCTTTGTGATAAGTTAACTGTATAATGTATATGTAATACAGTATTAGAATGTCAACATCTACATATTTCAAAATAAAATAATCTTCTATATATATTATACTGACGGCAACGGCATTGCAGTTTTAGTATTTCCAGGTTTACAAGTAAGGATGAAGATTTTAAAATGTTTTTGTTTATATTTTCAGGTTTATAAATGCTCGTAGACGGATAGTTCAACCAATGATTGACCAGTCAAATAGAGCAGGTAATAGTTTAGTTTCATTTAAACAATCATATTTTCAGAACAAAAAAGTACAATACTTATCCATAACTTGCTAAATTTGTGTAATGGCTTTGCCCAGCAATGAATTTGGAACAGTCCATTCCAAGTTTAAGGGAAATCACAATCAAAGTATAAAAATTTAGCTATTGACAGTATAGAGCCTGGTCAGACTGCAGGTACGTGCAAGCTAGCATCGCTGTATACTGGTGGCAAAGGCTTCACTTTCAGTCCCAGCAGGATTTAGGAAACCATAATCATATTATAGCAACAATTTGTTTTTCTCAAACATTTAAACTGTCTATATTATAACTGCTGCCAGTTAAGAGATATCATTTCAAAAAAGTTTCTTTTGTATGTCCACATTCTGATATCCCTGTTTGTTGGTATGATATATCTTTTCTCATAACTTGAACAAAAATTCAATAGTGTTAAACCTCCCAGCAGTTTTAGTTCCTAGCACCTTACAGTGTGTTACATATAAAACCATTTTTTCTGGCACTTGGTTGGGAGAATATTTTGCCTGTCAGTTTTACCTCATAAATTCAGTATGGCACCAACCTATCAATCTGCCTTGCAACTCTGTGGCATATGTTGATTACCTCTCAGTAGGTAGGTAATATACAATGCATAAAACTAAAATAAAATCTGTCAAACATTACTCTTGCTTCATGCACAAATGGCAGATCTTATTCATTCCTAATTTACTGAGAGTATTTTGTCATAATGGCAAAAAGTTAATTGTGTAACTAGCACCCTACATGAGCCATATAATAGAATTCTCAGTCAAATCTTTTCCATGAGTAATGTGAGAGAACATACACCAATTTATTTTCATGTGACACTTGTGCCATGTGATAAATTCCAAGCCATTTTAGTTTTCTTCCCATGAGCCATGTGATATAATTCAAAGCCATTTTCCCCATGAGCCATGCAACAAAATTTCAAGCCATTTTCCCCATGAGCCATAATTCCAAGCCATTTTCCCAATGAGCCATGTGATATAACTCCAAGCCATTTACCCCTTGAGCCACATGTTATAACTCCAAGCCATTTTCCTCTTGAGCCATGTGATATAATTCCAAACTATTTTTCTCATGAAGGAGTTATGTCAAAATGTTTTCATTAAATTTTTCAGACCAATAAAAATTAAGATTCTCAGTCATATTTTCATCAATAAGATAGTTAATCTTCACTCTTCATTTCCTAGACCATAAGCATAATTTTCACTGATCATTCAACAGAATTCCATGTTGATTAGACAGAATTTTCTGCCATTTTTTCCCATGCATTTTTATTTAGACATTTTAGCCATCTTAATTAGTGATTAATTATTAAGTGAACTGACCTTAATACATGATCTGTTGCAAGCCACAGTAAACCTGTCAGCAAACGTTTACAACTCTGAAAAGGAATAAGACAAAGTTATAAAAGATTAAGACATATGCAGGATAAGTGAATGTGATCATAAAAATATATGAAGAGTTAGAACATGCCCTATTCAGAAGGTTGATATTTCTGAGAAGACATTATGTCATAAATATAACAATTTCATTTTTTGTATTGTCCGGACAGCAGAGATAAATTGCTTTTATACAATTATTCAAATATGGTTCCATGATAGTACATGCTCATACAGAAATAATTGAAAATGCAGACGTTCAATGAAAAATGCAAATTTAATTTCGTATTTAAGTTTAATACATTTCGACTCCAAATATCATTTATTCCAGGCCCATAGCAAATGATGAATGAGAAAAAGAGTATAATGTATTTCACTATGATTATTCCCTCCTTAAATAGCAATGTTATGGTAATAGATGTAAAATTCAGGATTTTTGGATATTCTATCATTCATACACCACAGATATTTACTAACTAATCAATATAATGCACATTAAAATGCAGAATTATTTTCCCATTTATTTCGCAACTTGAAGAATACTGTATACATTATGAATAAATAATATGTCACAATCGCTAGGGTGTTCTGAGTTTCCACGCATCGCAAGCTACAGAAATTACGTACACCATCTTTGTTGCGCTATTTGAATATCTGCTGATTGACTGTTCAGTTTTCCTGATTAGCAAATTGTATGAAAAGTCTAAATATTTAATGTTGAGACACTTAATTAGGTAAGTACGGCAATGGGGGAAGGTCTGAAATTAAATTATGATTTTTATATTTAATTAAAGTTGTTTAATTAATGAAACTATGATTCAGGTGACTGAATAATTACATCAGTTTTTTTTTTTCCTTTCGACTGATTTACACATTGCTGATTATGATGGCAAGGCCTGTCTTAAACAACTGTTAGCTGTTTGTTTATCACCTCCCAAATGGCCATTTGGACTTTATGCAACTGTTGATTCTGATCAAATTAATGAGTAAGGAAAAATTTATTCAGGGAAATTAATTCATGTCCCAAGAGAGGTTTATTTGCATAAATTTGTGCATAGAGTTCTACAGTTACTTGTTGATAAAGGACTTATTTTAGGTGCTCTATTTTTCTTAATTATAACGAACTTTGATGTAAATGTATCACTGTCATGAAACAATCAGGAAAGATGTGTTATTAGATAATGTACCTGTAATAGTAATGGTTTATTTAATTTCCTGTACTTGTGATGAACAATATTTCATTTGTAATGGTCAAGTATTCAATGCTAGTTTCAAAATAAAAAATTACAATTACTGTACAATTATGGTAATGAAGAATGTCAAATAATACCTGTACAAATCTAAGCAATTTTGATTGGCTAATAAGAAAAACTTTCTTTGTCATTATGTACCTTTGTTAGTAACAGAATGTCACACTTCTCGTGCAATATTGAAAAGAAACAAAAAACAGTAATCACAAATTTTTCCTATTTGTAAAAGTTTATCTAAATATATCTTGTAAAAATTTATTTAAATATATCTAATCTTATATAAAATGATATGAATCTGGCGCAGATTTCCTTCTTATTTTAATATACCAATTTCTTTCAAACTTTCATTTAATACTAAGTGGCTTTTCCTTAGAATTATGGGAATAAAATTTAATTATTTTCTTCTGATTGCCATAAATATTAAACTGAAAGAAAACTGGCATGAGTCTGTGAGAATGCAGCAACACTGTGTAGATTGCTAATGAGACTTGTTCCTCGTTAACGCTAAATAATCACATTATATCTTCCACATGCATACTGTTATATAATGTTTTATAGAGCATAATCACCTGTAATCATCATACTAATAGCTTTATTTTATTCCCCTGCTTTAAACTAGCAATAAATTACAGCCAGTAGCAAAATTTTAAAAAAAATGCACACCACCAAAACGTAAAAATGATAAAAAAGGCACTGGTACGTATAAGCAATTAATATTCTGCTATCTAAATTGCAATTTTGATATGATAAAATTCATCTCTTGAAATAGTATCTTTTTAAATCAATTAGAATCCTGGTGTAAAATGATTTTTGTCTAAAGTACATAATTTATTGTTCATCAGTAATTGCAATGCAATCCCCATCTATGTAAATAGTAATTTATCACAATTTTTTCGTTCCCTTTCATTGACACTGCGTGAAATGTCCCATATTATAGTTATAGTTTCTACAGGGCTTTTTAAGAGTCCTCCCTGATTGAAATAAACATTAAAGTGATTACAGAGGCTAAAGAGAATATCATTACAGAGTATTTCCCTATCTAATGCAATTTTTTTCAATTAAAAACCATTAACGAACTAGAATAAATGGACTGAAAAACGAAATTGCTACAAAAAAATTCTTGAAATATCTTGTTATTTGAGATTAAGCATTAGGTCAAAATGCGTTTCTGTGGAAATATCTCAACAATTAGTTTAAAACAAGGGTAGTGATGTTTGGAATTTACTTGAACTGAGACCAGGATGCAGCAAGACAAAGGTGAAGCGTACATTACATATTAAACATAGCCTTTGAACATACTCGATCTTTTTACACAATTAGAAAATGTAATTTACATAAATAATAGATGAGACTCATTTAAGTGTCACATTAATAGCATAGTCGAGGGACACATTTCGTCATTTTCTACGGAACAATAACAATTAAACATTAATGGCTTAACAAACACTCATTATGAATTGATTTCAAAAACATACCATTCAACAGTATGGTTTTACAAGATAGAACCTGTTACCGTATCAAATTTTGTACGAATAAAAAAACAACATCTCCAATTTCGTTACTGCTTCGGACAGATCTTCATGAATTTATAATGTTTATAACCTATGCATAGAATGAAATTTTATCATTTGAGGATCTGTAATAGTGCTTTCAATATTCATGCAAGAGTATAACAAAGTAATGAGAAGCGTAAAAATGATTGTCCTACACAATAGATGTCCCATTTTCCGTAAGGGAACACATAAAACCCTGTCTACCAGAGCGTGAAAATATTCATTGAATTTCGCTTTATTTTCAATTCACTATTTGGTTATTAATTCTTCACCAAACTACGGCAAAACCAAGATGCTTGTAATAAAACATTTATCAAAAATTATTAAATCGTATTTTTTTTTCTTTTCGGGTCATCAAACTGACATCAGAATCTTGATTTCAATCAACATTTTAAATTGTGTGTAGGCTCATGTGCTCACACAGGTTGAAAAAGTTTTGTGTAAATGCTATTGAAATATAAATTATTTTACACTTTTTCTTCATTTATTGTACCTTTCAAAATACATTGTAAGACCACCACTCCTTCGATTATTTCTTATTACATATGTGACACCATAAAATATGTGAAATCAATACATATGTGACACCACTACATATATGACACTAATACATATGTGACACCATTACATATGTGACATCAATACGTATGTAACATATGTAACATATCTGATGCCATTTAAATTGTGACATACTTACAAATATTAGCAACCTTTTCATGATTATTTGACACTAACACAGTCATGTGACACCACTTTACTATTTTATGACACTATTACAAGTAAAATGACATTGTTACAAAATTAATGTAGATTTACAACATTACTTAATATCATCATAATATGCAACACAATTACAAATTTTAGCATCTTATATGTCAATGAACTGTTTTTAATTTTTTCCCTCTTCAAACTAGTTTCAGAGTCTTGCCCATTTTAAAAACAAGTGCAGTAACTCTTTCAATTCAAAATTAAGATGTATTTATACTATTTGTCTCCCTTTTTTCAGCTCCAGGGGCTCATGCAGGGTACAATCCTGATGGATCTCTAGCCTGGGAGAACCAACATATGCAAATGGGTGCTCATGGCATGTACAGTAAGTTATTCTACTATTATATTATATTTCACCAATTAGAGGGAAATTGTAAAAGGAAAATATCAATTAATTCACTGAGAAAACTAAAGCTAAATATAGGCTGAACGTTTAATAAATTATTTTATACTTGTATATGCATATCTATAATATATAAAAAAAATTGTAATTCTGAACTTACTTAGTGCAGTAAAAATATAATTAATATCTGCCAATTATATATAATATAGCATCCAACCAAAACATTCTTTTTTATTTTTAAAGAAAGAATCTTTTAACTTTAAAAATTAAAATGGCAAACCATTTTATATATATTTTTGAATGTTTACATAATAGATATTATTAAAATGATTTAATACCTTAACATTGAATTGGAATTTTATTACTTATGCATGTGCTTAATTTGTTCCTTCATCTTAAATTTATGTATGAAAAAAAAAAATGAATAAATACACAATGAGATAAATTAACATTAAATAACAATAATAGCACACAATTGCATTATGGGAAATTTAGACATGCCACACAGACTTAAATACGTCTGACCCTATTAACCCTTTATATAAGGCACCCTACTCTTTTTTCGGCATCAGTAATCATAAAAACAACACAGCGCAATGTGTGCGGTAAATGGGACTTTTGCATATAGAAAAACCTGAGAGAAAAAGATCAACTGATTATTCAAGTAATACACTCGAAACTTCACACAAACTTCTTGTGATGTATTGCTCGAAACTTTCTTCCCAAATCTTCATAAATCATTAGCAAATTTTGAAAATACACTTAATTTAGCTGAAATTTATGGGAAATTATAAACACCTGGGAGGTTAACACCATTCATTGTAAGTAAAATCATGCAAAATGTGAATGATAAAATCACCACTGAAAATATTTTTGTGCTCAAGTCAAATAGTCTATAATTCATCTTATCAAATACTATTTTTTGTTTAATAAGAAGAATTTTCTTTCCTTATTGTGTGCATACATTCTTGTTTTTTGCAATATTTAATCATTTATTTTCACTCCCAGCATCAAAAAAGTGCCGATATGGGATTATGAGTTATCAGACAACATGTTTAACAAAATCATTATAAGACGCTAAAGTGCTGTCTACAAAAACTCTCGCATAATGAGATCAGTAAAAGAGAACTAATTTCCAGAATTATTACAACACATTTTGCATAAAACCGTTTCATAGAAGTACCACTCAAATTCTTAATTCAATCTTTAGACTGCATTTACTTTTTTTCCTAGTTTTAATGAAGTTTCTTCTTTATGCATTTTCAAAAGAAATCATAGTGTGTTGCATAAATATCTCTTTCATTGCCGCAATAGATTAGACACATAATTGAATGGTATCTTAAAAATTTACCAGAAAATTATAGCATTTTGAATGAAATTTAAAAAACGTTTAAATAGAAAATTTGATATGATGCTTGTACAAGTATATTAGGACTTAGTATTGGTTTTTGTTATTCCATGACTTATTTTCTATGCGATAAATCTATTTTAAGCTTTAATAAAGAAAATGTTTATTGCAGGGGTACCAGGTATGCCAGGAAGTGAGATGTATGACCCAATGAAAGCTGGTTACCCACACATGGATGGTTCCCAGCGGTACGACATGCTAGGAATGCATGGGGCGGACATGTATGGAGCTCCGCCTGTCAGTAGTTCATACTCACAAATGTCGCAGCTTCGTGGACACGGCACAAACTCTATGCTCATCCCTGGACATCCTCATCATATGATGATGGGTGCCCATGGAGCCCATGCCATGAGCCCTCATGGGATGTCAATGGGCTCAACACAAAGCCCACCTCTTCACAGTAGCATGGACTCTATGGGACACATACAAGATATTCACGCGGGTTAGCCAAAAAATTTGTGTTAATTAGGTTGGGTTTGCTTTTTAATATAAAATACACACACGTGATGAAGTGAACGTAATGTAGTGTCGTGAACAGGGTGAAACTTTTGTATTAATCTTATCAAAAAAGTATTATTTAACAAGGGAGAACAGATACTGATCTGTGGACATAGAAAATAGTTCTGTTATCTAAGTGAGGAGACAGAACTGAACCTTGTTGTGTGCGGAGCTTATGCTAAATCTGCACGAATATACATTCATCATAATACGGGTGAATATTTATCTTTCTTCGAGTACAAAACAATGATATGAAACTATGGTGATAGACAGCAAGCAATATTAGAGACAAAAAAATCACAAACACTGAGTACTGCTGATATTTACACAGGGTTTGCTGATTTCTTGTCCATGGAATCAGCAAAGAAAATAATACAGTGGGGAAACTTCAGGGAATTAAATTCCCCTGAGTCTGTTTGTTTTTTTAAATGAAGATAATTAACATATTTACCCATAATGCTAAGCATCTGGGTGTCAAAGGTCATGAAGCAGCATGTTCAGCTATGGTACTTTGGTGCAGGAAGGGGCAACCATCATGTAATGTAGATGTGACTTAGGGAAAAAGGAAAATTGCCTGATTCCGTAAATATATTATGGTTGTTCCAGCCAGAACTAGTCATAGAATGCAAGTGCTGAATGCTGGATGGCTAATAACATTCAATGTTCTGCTAGGAAAAAAAAATTCTTTGTTGTCTTAACTGTTTCTTGCTGTTGAGTTATTGCCCTTTGTTACACACATTATTCTATAGAGTAATGTCCCCTTTGTTACTTGATGTTTTTACTTACAGTATTCGACTAGTCTGACATATACAGTTGATTTTGGTTTGAATTTTTTCTTCTTATGTGTGCTTTTTTTGAATTCTTGGCTTCAATATAATGTGCTGTTCTTTTTCTTTTTGTTTATTTTTTTTTAGTTTCTTTTATATACACTAGAAACATACAATGTGCCAATGTGTGATCATTCATTGTTTATAGAAAAATAAATAAAATGATTCTTTAAGAAAATAAAAAAAACAACACAAACTTTTTATGCTAATTTAAGGCTAAAAGAAATTTTTACATAAAAAAGTGATGTGTGTACATAAAAAAATATTTGTGAAAAATATAATGAAAATAGCAACAGCAAACTTTTTTTCTAAAGTTTTCTTAAGAATTAATTCCGCTTGAAGTGGAGTGAAAAATATTTGCTGAAAATATATGTTAAATTTCTTAAATTGTCAGAAGATGGGCAAATATTTTGGGAAATATTCCATTTATTGCTAGTTTTTTTGTTTGTTTTTTTCTTCTGTTTGGTTTATTATATATATCGGACAATTGCTGAAAATAACAAGAGAAAGTTACCTCATTTTTAATTTTTTGATACATTTTTTTTGTCTGAATGCCACTGAAGAAATTGAAGATATACATGTTTATATATGGCATGATTTTGTATTACTAACGCTAAATGAGATATTTGCTAGACTTTTGGACACCTTTGTGCGAAATCTAATGTATTTTTACTTTTATCTACACTGCAATTTTTATACTTATATGCAAATATAGTCTCAATCAGGTAAACTTAGATCAATTTGTTGTCCGTGATGGACAGTAGCAGTAAGCCACCAATATAATTTCTAGCCAACTTGCACGTCTGTAAAGTCTGACCAGGCTCTATACTGTTGGCTGAGTTAAATATTCAAAGTTTAAATTTTCATCTTGGCATCCCTATAAATTGATCATTATTTTTATGAAAGACCAATACCAAATTTGATATTTGCTAATTCCTAAGGTAATGATTAAAGTATGTTTTTTTCATTTAATGGTATTCAAAAGTCTAGTAAATATTGCATCAGCTAGCTTGTCTGTCCATGACATAAAATTTTTAAATGTAGATTAAATAGCATTCCACCATTGAGTTTAAAATTCATGTCTGTTACAGCATGTACAAACAGAAAACCCAACAAAGTTTTAAACTGAGAAAAAGCAATAAAATACACTGTTTATTTATTAATTTGTTGAATTTTCGTGAGCAATAATGTAGCCTCTAGATGGCTTGTAAATGTGTTACAATAAAACTTTTCATTTTCAGTGTTAACTATTGATAATTTATGCACATTTAAAGCCCTATTTGAGTGCATTTTAAATTAATTAACCATGTTTAAATACATTTTGAAATAATTAGTAAAATTATCATCTCCAAACACCATGACTTTTTATTGTATGCTTCATTAAATTTAATGCATTTCTCCTGAATTAATTTGAATTAATTATGCATCTGCAAAGAGCAAAAATTAATAACAATTTCATTTTTTTCTGCGTTCTTGCTATTTCCAATTGAATCATTTTCATACGACAATTACATAAAATAACCAGCAAAAGTTTTTATTAACCGCTTGTTTCTTTTCGATTTTTTTTTTCAAATAACATAAGCAGATGTTTGAACAATTTCTTTATATTTTTTTAACAACAATTTGAGAAAACACAACAATTACATATACATGTATTCAAATATCATGAAAGGCAAAATTAAAATTTATGACTGAAAATGCAAAATTGTGCAAAATTTAACTTTGATTGCAGATAGAAAATGTCAGTAAAATTTCTCAGGGTGGATCTATTGAATTAGAATCAACAAAGATATGGATTTACTTGAAAAATCCCTTTATCTATAAGGAAACTTTTAAAATGATTTTTCATATAGGAATATATATGGAAAAAACCCATTCAATATTAAAGAAATTAAAGGGTCATTTTTGTACACTTACTTGATAAGTTACAATATTGTATAGCTGTTTAATACATGTCCCGCCAGATTGCGTACATTTCTACCACAATTACACACAGTCAAATTTCGGATTCTGCTTGATTCCTGAATTAAAATGCATCAAATTAAGTATACTTTATCACTCCCTATCCCCACTCCACTCCCCCTAAACTATTATATATGATAAAACAATTGGTGCAGTGCTATATTATTATTATTCCATTAACTTTATAAAAAAAAACTGTGTAGCTTAGATCATTAGATACAATAGAAAATCACCTTAGTGCAGTAATGGAATAAGTCCTTCTAAGTTTAATGAGTTAATCAGTTATTGCACTAAGGTGATGAAATAAACATTATGATGCTGTTGTACAAACTGTAATTAGTGGAGAACACTTAAAAAGGAGGTTTCACTTAAGTATTGTATAAAAGTGGTGAACCATTCATGTTTCACATTGCATAAAAGGTCAAGGTCACCAAAACTTGATATTTATGATGGGTGCAATTCAAGATATTGTAAATATTAAGCGTTAAAAATTTGTAATTGGTACCCATTATTTATATCCATAAAGTAATGTTTAATGAAAGATTTTAAGGGGATACAAGATTAACTTGTACATAGACATAATAAATAACTGGAGAATATCTTGTACCCCCTTGAAATTTTCCTTTGAAATGGTGCATGGATTTTTTCATGTTAACACTTGTTAATGCAGATCTGAATTATGGCTATATGCTGCCAAATTGTATGAATGTATATGTATTGAGTGGAAGATGTTATCTACTGTTGTTTAATGTCCCATCAAAAACTACAAATTATTGAATTAACAGTATTGTATTGTTTTTTTTTTACATTTTGTTTTCTTTATTGTTCTGCTTCATTTTAACTGTATAAAGGGTTACTGCAGGGTGAATTTCTATTACCCTTCTTATTTTCTGTAATTATTTTGTGTAGTTTTTTTCTCCCTTTCAAATGGACAGTTGTTTTATTTTAGAATTATCATATAAAAATGCTTTACCACATGCCAGTCATATGTTTCTATTTTTAAATATGGTAGCAAAGAATTATCAGAATTGTTTGTAAAAGAAGCATTTAAACATTATTTTAGTTACCAACATGTTCTGTCAAGATTACTATTGTTTACTAGCATATATTTTGCATGGGCAATGCCTTTCAAATACATTGGTGTATTCAGAAAGTTGGGAAAACTTCGTTTCAGTAATTGTAATTCTGCATTATAACAAATAAGTTTTCACAACTTTTCTTACAACCTCTGACCAGAATGTCATCTTAAACATTAAAATGTTAAGAAATAAATATATATTACCATGTAAAATGTATTCATTTATGCTTTGAGAAGTCAGACACCAGGGTAAATGATTTTGTTTTTGAAATGGTACAAAACTGTCTTATATATTACGTGTAATTACATCTAGATACCTCTGTCTAGGTGTCAACATTTCATAAATGTCTTTTCAGTATAATAAATAACTTTATATAAAACATTACTCTGACATCCTTCCATCAAATTCCATGAATAAATTACAATACATAGATAAATAATGTCTGAATTCATAATCAACAAGTACAAAAGGTCATAAATTTATGCAAACCAACTGTTATTCTAACTAGAAAAACTCATTAACATTTCTATGGTTAACGCAAACTGACATTAAGGAAAAGAATTCTTCTAAAATATTTTATCTCCTAAAAAATTTCTCATATTAGTGAATGATAATTAAAAGTTATTCAAGTGTCAAAAAAATATTTCGCCACCTCAAAATGGAAAACAATGTTTTAATATATTCTGACAAGTGCTTACCTACCATGCTAAAAGTCAACTTTTACAAGACGTTACTCCCATATTTATTTCAATCAGCCTTTTTACATAAATGTTTAAAAATCCATAAAACTTTAAGTGATGAATCAAAGTTCATAGTTCAAAATACAAGTATGGAAAATAGAGTTACGTAAACTAAGCAATTTTTTCTTTACATTATCAAAACATATCATTTAAAGCACATCCAGTTCTAGCATTTTGCTCTGTGAATTCATTTTGTTACAACACGGATTGTTAATGATATCATAAAAATAACTATTCCATTCTCAAATATATTTCTCCAATAAAAGTACAAGTACAGTATTTCTAGAAATGGTAATTTTAAGAATGTACATTGCATTTTATGATTAAATTTTCAAGTTACATTTAGAAGCAGTTTAACTTATTCTCTTTTTCTGTAAGAATAATTCAGCCAAAATTTACATTTTCAGATTTTTTTTTTTTACTATTTGCATTTGCTTCATTGCAATATGATGTAAAAAGAATATATAAAGACTGAAATGAGCAATTTTAATTGCCATTTTTTTCTTCTTAAAATATATCTTAAAAAACTTTGGATGTTTACAATGTCACGATTTAAGCACTAATTTCAACAATTTTTTTTTTCTTTCTTTCATTTTTTTTTTCATTTTTTGAAATTGTGTCACATAAATAATTTTTTTTGAATAGTGAAAATAGGTCAAATGTATCATTAATTATTAAAAAATATTCCTCGCTGCAGTATGGTAACATATCAACATGTAATATTTCTCTCCACAAATCAGTATTATTCATATAGTCACAAAAGATCATCCATTGAAAACCTGCCCTTCACCGTTACAAAAAGAAAAATCATAAATATTACAGCAGCCATGATGTAATTTCCTAACTTTAATGATATTTATTTAAAACATGAAATATATGCTAAAAACCTTTATTAAAAATTATTTACATTATGCTAAAAACAACGTGCAACTTTCAATATTAAAACAAGTCAATATTTTTCTCCATCTTTTAATGAAGATATATTGACAATTTAAGCTATTATTATGTTGCTGTCATGATCACCTTTAGTTTTAACAGCATTTTGAGAAAAATTTTCATCCCAATTTCTATTTCTGTAATGTTTTTATTGCTATATGATTCATATAAGATATATATAACAAATTTTCTCATGTTACTGATTAATGGGCATATTATCACTGCATATTTATTCATCAGATACCTGGATAATGAAATTGAAAAACAGAAAAGAATAATTCATAATCATTATGATAATTATCATTATGATAATTGATAAATTAAGACTGATTAATTGTTGGCTTTATTACAGGAGGAAAATTCATGATATAAAAAGTATGTTTACCCGATGCTAATTATTCCGGTTGCATGTAACCAGATGCCAATTACCAGTATTCTGGTTGTGTATAAACTCGCCATCTATAAATAGATATAAGAAAGTTGAGGTCAGTGAACAAAAGGCTTTTCAAATTATTGACAATCATGGCACTGTCTACCATTATATATAAAATAATCATAACAACCCAGATTACTCATATCACACAGAATAGCTCATTTTGCATATTTTATCAATTTTTGTTTTCTTTTTTTATAAAAAGAATATTCTTCCTCGCAAAAATCAAATATGATGATGTCTTCCAATGTATTAAGAAAATCAAACCTAGTTATTGTACATGTGACAGTGAACACTGCATTTACAACTTGCATATGAATAAAATAACTCTTAAAACGCTGGAAATCAAAAAGTGAAGTCTGTGCCAACAGCATAGTTAAAAGCCTGCCTGTCTGTTTGTCTGTCTTTGAAGCCTGACCAGGTTGTATACTGCTAGCTAAATAACTTCAAGTTTCCACCTTGGCATTCCCATAATCAATAATGGATCATTCCAAAGATGGAAGCTGAAGAAATTCTATTTAAGATGGGTTAGAAAATGTTTTGTAGTATTTTGATACACCTTAATAAAAAAAAGCTTAATAAGCTGTGTAAAGGATTTATATAATATGAATAAACTTGAGGCAGAGGAAACATTATTTCTGCATTATAGATTTTATAATCAATATAAAATTTTATCGTCCACAATTCATATATATATATATATAAATAAACATCCGTTCATAAATATATCATTTGCACATACATTACATTTTCTCTGTTCTAAATTGAAAATAATTGCATTTTAATGGAACAGCAAATGCTTTAGTTCATTTTAAAATGGTAATTGGTACATACCATTTTATTCTCAACTTCATTTAATTATTCATTTAATTATAAGAGCTTCCCTTATTGAACACTTTGACATTTTGAAATTCAAATGAAGGAAATAAACAGTATTAGGAATAGCCATATTTTATAAAATATTTCATATTATGTTTACTTCACTTGTTTGTGATTATGAAATTTATTTCATCGAGGAAACGTAATTAAATTCAACATAAGACATAAATTACCATTTTAAATATTATATATTCTGTTTGCAGTTAATGTATTGTTTTTTCTGATGAGCAATCTGCATATATAAGTAAAACATTTAAATGTGAATTTAATATTGTAAAATTGCTGTTGTTTTTTTATGAGTGTTCATTTATGTATAACTGACATTTTCATGAACTATATATTTATGACAGTCAATCAATCAAAGATCGGAAGTCTTGAAGTTGGTTTGAAACCTCATATTCATATAAAACATTTATAACTTACATATATACATGATGGTTTCTTGATTTACAGGAACCAGTTGTTAGTTTTATTGTTTATAATTATGCAAATAGTAAAAAAGAAAATAGATTAATTAAACACCTCAAGGTAAGGGTAAAATTTGTCCTGATCTTTTAATGCACCATCAGGAATAGTTTATGTCCATTTCTTTATTTCTTTGCAAAAAAAGCTTTTCAAATTGTTCTTTTGCAGTGTTTCAATTTGAATTTTATCATTACTTTTATTATTATGTTTCAATTCTGTGTAATACAAATATATATGATAATCTAGAATTGCTTTATACACTTGGTGAAAACTGGTAAAATTTTATGCTTATTTCATTTTATAATAAGAAAAATAATGTATCAAAAAAAAGGGTAAAAAATCATTATTTTATGAGATCTATTATGTATAAAACATGAATTTCTCGATCTCTTTTTGTCTTTCTGTATATATTTTGATGTGAAAAAAATTAACAACTGAAAATTTATAACACTAAATTTTATACCAATTTAAAAGGTCCTTGTATAGCAAAATAAATAGTATTATTAAGTTAAGGCAGAAATTAATTTCAATGTCTTTGATTATTTTGTTGGAATCTTTAAAATTACAAGAGCTGGACTGACAGTAACAAAAAAATATAAAAAAGATCTGAAGAAAAATATGTATTCTCAAAGATTAACAATAAATCACATATATGTTTAAGTAAAAATGAAACTAAGTTTACTTCTAAAGGGATTTTTCACAAGTTGTTTTACATCAACATGTATATAGAAATTCTCCTTTCCAAAACCGTCCATTTTGTTCCATTCCTCATATATCAGGCAATGTAATTAATATTTCACTGTATTTATACTTTCACATAATATTTACAACATTTTTATGAAAAACTTTGGGTAAAAACTTCTTTATCAAGAACATAAATAGAACTATTCTAAAAGATATTTTGAATAATAAAAGAATGTAATCTAGTAAAGTGAATGTGCATGTATCATTATTCTTAAATGCTTTCAAACATTTAATAAGATATGTTGACTCTTTTTTTTTTATATATTCATTATATAAAGAATTACCTAAGTCAGCTGGCGACACCTTTCTTTATATTGTTACTGTTTTAGGTAAAATATGGTGTTTTTTCTGTATTATTAGAATATCTTAATTTGTAAAATGCCAGAAAAAGAAGTTACGATAATACCTCAGTTTGAAAATTTGTCGTAAAATATGCTTCCAGCATTCACCAATGAAACAAGCACTTGGGTCAAGCACAACTTCCCCTCTTCTTTCTTGTTACTGTTCTGAAAGTAAATGATTTCATGGTATTTTAACCTTGTAAAAAATAAATGATTCAAGGTTTTACCAGATGTAATTTGTAATAAAATATTCAGTCATTCAAAAGAGACAACAATTTAATATCACATGATTCCTGTGTTATAAAATGGAAATTAAACCATAAATATGTTGTTTTTTTCAAATATTATTGTCAAAGAAATATAATTATATATTGACTATATGATATTTAAGAAGTTAGTACCAATTTTCACAACAGTATTTTTTCTCACTCACTATTCCAGTGGAGTGTATGCATGCATGAGCGTTTGTCTGTCTGTCTGTTTGTGTTAATGATCACATGTTTGAATGTATAGTATTGATTTTGGTGGACATGAACAGAGAATAAACTTTAATTTTTGTATGTTAAAATACAAATGTGAAAAGTGTTTGTCTTCTTTTTATTAATTAGACCCCTTTACCTGCTGAAAATTCCCAACTAGACTTGTAAAAGTTATGAAACTGTCCACTATGATTTTTAAGGTCATCAGCCAACAGTAGTGTCAAAATAGTGGCAAAGGTTTCACTTTTGGTTCCAGTATTCTAAGGACTTAATGCTCCCTCCCAAACATAATAGATTCTATAACCATAAAATCTGATCTAGTGTAAAAAAATCAGAACAAAAATCTGAACCTGAATTTGAATAGAGGTGACAATATGAAATAAAATAATACAAAATCAGCTATAACATAAGCCACGGCCAATGTTTTCACACCTTACAGAGATTGGGAAGATACTTGCAAGCAAGACTTTAACTGTTCAAGTCAATATCACTAGAAAACAGGTGACAGATATCTACCTCTTTAGTTGATGATCAGTTCTTTTTATTCCAGAATGAAATATTTTCAACAAGTGCCGTTCCTGGCAAAATTATTTGGGCAGCAATAACCACCCTTGCTGCTCCTGACTTGATAAAACTGTAAAAATATTTCTAACTTTCTTAAAAACCTTGAAATAAGAAAGTATACATGTAGATCTATCTTTATTTTTTTTTCTTGTCAGCAGACTACATTCCTTACACAGAAGTTGGAAAGTCATCTTTCAACATAGATCTACCAATCTAAGGATGGTTTTCTGGTTTTGTAGGTCCCCAGCCAGTACTATTTATAAATCAAGTTTATAAAATATTACAGAATTAAATTTTAATGATTGTCTGAAACTTAAAATTGTAGTGGCCTCAGTGGCTAAATGGGAGAAAACTATCCAACCACTTTCAGAAGGTCAGTGGTTCTGATTTAGTCTCCAATTGTGCCTGATATAATTATATGAAAGGCAGGTTACTCCAGGTTTTCTGATGACAGTCGCTGATGATTCAACCACACAAAGTCCATCAACATTTCCAATCATCATCATCATCTCAAGTAATTGCATCACTCCGCAAGGAGTATACTCGCAATTGGAGTCAATGAAATCAAATGAAAACATGTTTAATTGCACATATTGTTACAAGAATGTTTTAGTTATAGATTCGTCATTTATAAATTATCATAATTGACCTATCACATAAAATGTCAAAACAAAATTGAAACTGAACAAGTCGCGAAAACAAGTTATATTTTTATCAAATTGGATTCTTTAATTTTTTACAAGCCGGTAATAAGCCTACGTGTAATATTAGTGATAAGTTACCAACAAATAAAACTAAACCTTTTATTTCCGTCAGAAATTCGCCAACACTAAATAACTTTTGAAAATGGATAGCAGACACTGTTGCAGTCTCCACGCAGTGATCTCCCCTTAATTATTCGGCGTAATTACAAAGGGAAGTAACCGGTGCGTAATTTGGTGTTGGTGATGCTCCAGATCACGGCAGTATCAGCCATATTGACTTACCAAAGCACAGTTCAGCCGCTGCATCGTTCCACATATAATTCTAGAAATGACAGCCTATTTATGAAAAAAAGGAGCATCAAGAACTAGCAAGACAGTCAAATTGACTTTTCGGTGCTGGGTGCTTGGTCTGGATAATGTAAGAATTAAGAGGAAGATTTCATCCCCCAAAAGTATCACACTGGCCATAGCTTTCGCAGAAGCGGTGGGTCTACCGGTGCGGCGATGGAGATTTCGTCGCAGAAGCGGTGGAAAAATATGGCTGTCGGATAGTTTTTTGTTGGTGTCGGTAAGTTTATGACTTATTTGTACGTTATGTTTTTATGTTCTACTGATAACACCTAGTGAGACTGGAGCCCACATATGTACTCTTCCAACTTATTACACGCATTGGGTGCAAATCATGACCAGTTATGCAAACACTTCTGTACAGTTTGACGAGGAGACGCCACTTTTGCCTAATTTTGTTTATAACACTACATATGTACTCAAAACTACCCCTAGATACACTGGCATCGCATCGTATGTATGATAATTACACAAAACAACCATATTTTGGAACTTTTGGAAATTGATATTACTATTTTAATAAAAGAATGACAAAAATTGATTACAACGCAGACGGCGGTGGATTCGATTGCAACGCAGTGCGGTGGGCCCGATATCATTTATGTCTTTTTTTTAACGTTAAAGTCACCGACACTTAGGAGTTGAGCTCCAAACACCTAAAAATACAAATGAAATATTATTTGTTTATCCTAACACATATATATATATATAGTTGTTATATATATCAATGAAAGTAAATATACGCTTTTTTGCATTATGTACCTTATAAATATGTTTTTATAAAACAATCCCTGTTTTAGATACTAGTTTAACATATTGGGGTGTATGTTAACTATGAAGTGCTTTAATGGTAATTTTAACTTATAAATTGAATTAAAAAATACTTAAAGTTTGTATTTTCTTTACAAACTATGCATTCATTTAACTTATAAAATGTCTTGATAAATTAAATTCCAGTTTGGACACTAGTTCAACATATTGAAGTATATGTTAACTATATATAGCTTTAACTCGTATATTGAATTTAATCTTTCAATTTAACAAATCAAAATGTTTTTGTAGTTTAACACACAAGAGTCATCATTAACTATGTATTACTAACACATTGGTCATAAATATATTTTGAACTTTATTTTTACTTATGAACAGTTTGTGATAAAATTTTAATACATTGATAAGATGAGATGAGATGAGATCTGTTGATAGTGACACTAACTTAAGCTTTATTGCTTTATCTATTTTCTTATTTTATTTATTTCATTTTTTTTTAATATAACTTTACATGTTAACATTAAATTATATCAAATTTTTATTTACGTGTACAAAGCTATAAATAGGCTGCATGTAATATAAAAAAATTATAGAATGCATTTTGAAATAAAATATTACAATATACCTGACAAAAAAAGGTAGACGAAAATGTTGTTTATTGGCCTATGAGCGAATTGCACATGCACGCGTTTCAAATTATCGTATATTTTTGTTTGTAAATTGTAATTGTAATCTTAAAGTCAGAATTTAAATTGTCGCTCTTTCGTTTTCGTTGCTTTTCACGGTCTGTCGTTCCTCCTTTGGTTGGACAGTTTGGTGGTTTTTGCTGTCCAACTTTGTGTCATCTATTATTATAACGTTTGCTACAATTGTTTTCTATATGAAAGCGTATTTGAAGTTTCTGATTAATCTTTTGATTATATCATAATCTATTCTTAGACAATAAAGACGTCTGGCTCTGCCAGACATTATCAATCAAATTTCTATGTTTGTATTTTAACTCTACTGAGGATGACACAAATTAACAAGGAGGAACATGTACCGTAGTAAAAGTAAAACATAAATACATTTCCAAACTTTTCATGAAAATATACATGAATATTGAGGCCTTAAAACCTAATAATTATATATTTATTAATTCCAGCCCATATACTTATCATATATTTCAATAAAACTTACATATATGCTGTTTTGAAGAAAAAGTAAATATTTATACGTCAAAAATATACACAAAATAAAAAAATGTGTTAGAAAAAATCGCACATCCTTCAAATCACCTTCCAATTGATTCTATTTCCAATATTTTCGCATTTTCCTTTTGTCAACAGGTGACACGAGTCATCTATTAAACATATATTACTGGTATTTATGATATATTTTCATCATATTTTTCTTTTTCAGAAATATCAAACTTCATCTTCAATATACAAACACACTATGAGAAAAAATTTAAACTATCGCCGATTTATTTATTTACAAAATATTTCAACAAATTCAAGCGTGACACTCAGCTCTGTCGTATTTAAATGCGGTGCGCTATGAATGTGAGAACCCGCATTATCCCGAATGACTCCGATTATAGCAAGGCTGGTTCAAAGCGCATTTATATACAGCATATCTGAGAGTCATTTTGTTTTCAAAAAAGCATATATTTACTTTCATTGATATATATAACAACTATATGTGTTAGGATTCACAAATATATATTTCATTTGTATTTTAGGCGTTTGGAGCTCAACTCCTAAGTATCTGTGACTTTAACGTTAAAAAAAGACATAAATGATATCGGGCCCACCGCACTGCGTTGCAATCGAATCCACCGCCGTCTGCGTTGTAATCAATTTTTGTCAATTCTTTTATTAAAATGGTAATATCAATTTCCAAAAGTTCCAAAATATGGTTGTTTTTTTTGTAATTATCATACATACGATGCGATGCCAGTGTATCTAGGGGTAGTTTTGAGTACATATGTAGTGTTATAAACAAAATTAGGCAAAAGTGGCGTCCCTCGTCAAACTGTACAGAAGTGTTTGCATAACTGGTCATGATTTGCACCCCATGCGTGTAATAAGTTGGAAGGGTACATATGTGGGCTCCAGTCTCACTAGGTGTTATCAGTAGAACATAAAAACATAACGTACAAATAAGTCATAAACTTACCGACACCAACAAAAAACTATCTGACAGCCATATTTTTCCACCGCTTCTGCGACGAAATCTCCATCGCCGCACCGGTAGACCCACCGCTTCTGCGAAAGCTATGGCCAGTGTGAGTATATGACATAACTACTACAGTAGTCTTGGATATTGACCAAAGAATTTTGTAAGTTCACAAATGGCCATATTTCATTCAAAATCCATGCAAGAGTTATAGGTCTTGGGATGTCAACTTCAAATGTAACCCTGAAAAAAAGTTTTATAGGAATACCATCAGTAGTTTTTATTTATTAAATGTTGCATCTAAAATTTGAATTCACAGAGGTTTATTATCCAATCAAAATGCATGTAAGAGTTACTGACCTAGGACTGCGGTATTTAGTTTCAAATGAATATCTTCAGTAAATTTTGTATGCAAAATTTTCCATGTTCAAACTGCAAAAATCCAGGCTAAAGTTATAGGTCTTAGCAGGTACGTATATACCTGGTCTTAGGTAGTGACTTCCTTATATGATCTCAAAAAAAGAGTGTGAAGTTACAAGCAAATATTTTTTTTGCTGAT